GTTTATACCGTGGTAGATTATTAACAATAACATCACCGCTTACAGGTTTAGATTGACTTGAAGAAATTATCATTTCATTTTTTGTGTGTGTGTCTGAGAGTGTGTGTGTATTTGTATGAATCTGTATAGTGTGTGCGAATGAGTGTGTGTGTAGGGCTTCAGACTAACATTTGAGAGCAGTGGAACTAAGTTCTACAGATGGTGGCGCAAGAAGATGATTTGGTAGCGCTGGGGGGGGATATTAAAAGGTGTGTGAGTATCAGAGGATGATCGTTGCTCTGTCTGCAGTCTGTGTGTTGTGACGTAATGGCTCCTCAGCTCAGTGGTCAGTGGATCATGTGACTTCAGATTTGAGATGTTTTGTCCATAAATAACCCATTGAAAGCTGAATCCAGCGCTCCAGTGTTGGCCTGTGCTGAATCTCAGAGCTTCATCCGCTGGGATGTTTTCCGTGTTATTCCTAGACTCATTGCCTGATCCGACACGGGCTGTAATTGTAGCTGCGGTTCTGCTGTAATTTGCCCTGTCTGCTTATTTTCCTGCGTCTCTGTGCGGCGTGGGCCGTTCATGAGGATCCGCTGGGTTCCTCTGAGATGTTTCTGGAGGTCACTCGGAGACCCTGAAGATCAGACCCCCTGAATCCAGACTGAATCTGGAATTCATTCATGCCTGGATCGCTCTTTGCTTCACTTTTGAACTCATGTTTTATTTTATAGTGGTTAGACCATTACAGTGATCCATCACCAGTAGCGGTCATCAGGCCGGTTTGTGTTTGTATGTGAACCGTTCTAGACTCCACATGAACTTTACTCAGGTAGACCTGCTGGATTCCTCTCGTGTTGAGCGTCTCCCGCAGGGAATGCTGGGAAGTCCTGATTTCTCATGGTGTTTGTGTGAATCTGCTGATCCGGCGTTTCTCAGCATCACAGTCTCTCTCAGATGTTCGAGCATCTCGCGTTTTGAGGTCAGACAAACACGCAGGTCCTCCAGATCTCTCCTCTGACGATATTTTAGCATCTTAATCGAGGCCATCGTCTGAAGTGTCATTGTAATGTTTGTATTGACGTCTATAAACGGATTCAGCAGGCACATTTACTGCCTGTCAGCTTTATGGACCTTCCTGATCCACACATGGAAACTAAATGAGATTAACCTGCCTTATTTATTTACTTGTTTACCTATCTATAATTATTTGCTTATTTTTGGGTCACAATGTGATTCGATAGATTAGATGAGATTGTATTAGATTAGAAGTAACATTAGACTATCAGATGTTCATGCGGATGGATCATCAGGCCGCCAGTGAAGGTCGTGGGTTCGAGTCTCTGCTGTACGTCTTGAGGTTTGAGTCGGATCAGTATCGAGCAACATGAGCTCCTCTGCTGATGATAGACACTAGTTAACATAACCAACAGGTTAAAATGAGAGGCAACCACTGGATTTTAATCATGATCCAAACAAAGAAGCAGCGTACATGCAGCATGAGCAGTTTTTAATCTAAATTAGACTGTATCATTTCGAAATTTGAAGCAAAAACAGAATCGTCTGACTCTAGTTTTGTGAAACTATACTAGGGCTGTAGCTATCGATTATTTTAGTAATCGAGTATTATACAGATTATCCCATCGATTAATCAAGCGATCAGATAAGAAGTCATTTTTTTTATTAAAGAGCAATACTAAATATACAAGAGATAATAAGATGGATCTCTTAAAATAAACAACTAATTTGTTTTCTTTTTAGAAAAATTAAAATTTTTATTGCTGAAATTGCATACATTCATAACCGTGAAAACTAAACCCATTTAATGTATTTAATTGCCAAATTACATTCAAAATGCAAATACAAATATCAATAAAAAAATAAAAATACAAAAATCAATTTCACATTACTTTAAAAAAGGTAAACAGTACAAACTAAAACTAAGGCATAAATCTAAATAATAGTAATAAAAATAATAATAATACCTAAACATTGCATTTATGTCGTGCAACTTAACTTTCAAGTTTCAGCCTAACTAAAGCTCAAGCATGACGTAAGCCTTTACTGTCTTCTTGGAAGGCTTTGTGGCTTTTGTGAGGCAAACATCAGTGGAGAGGAAGATAACTTAGAACAAGAAGAGACCATACACAATTTTTAAACATTTTTCTGCAATATGAAATTAGAGTTATTTGGAGAATAAACCCTCTTAAATGTCCCTATACGTACTTGTGTGTGTGTGTGTGTTTGTGTGTGTGTGTTTGTGTGTGTGTGTGTGTGTGTGTGTAAAACTTGTTTTTGATTCATGTTCTGTGTGCGGGTCAGTTCACAGCAGTGATAGAAATTAATATGTTCCAATAAGTTTGATTCATTCAGGAATGAAACGCCGTCATGTTGCACAGAGACGCAAAACAGCGCTGTGGCTTGTTTGGAATTTTTTGGTTGGCAAAATAAAGCAAAAACAGGCAATATAGTGTCTAAAACGTAAGTCTCTTAATATTACCTTCTTGTTTATTGAACTGTTAGATAAAATCACATTTGTAATCATGCTGATTTTAGAGGTGAAAACTGGCACTCTTTGTGTGATATTGACTAACTTTCTTTCTGTGGTATTTTTATGCACAATGGTGTTTAGTCTTTCACAAAACATAGCTAACGTAGGGACATTATAACTAGCCACCATATTGATTTACGGTCTTAAATATGTCCAGCGCTTTTTTAAAAAGTCTGGTCCCTGTTTTTATACAGTCTATGGTCTGGTGCAGCGTTTATCGGGTTGTGCGTCAGTAATAATGATCCGTGGGGAAACACGGTGTTCCGTGTGTAGTTACAGTACGTGGACTAAACGAAGCATCTCGATGATTTTTTTGTATTCGAGTTACTCGAGATATTCGAGGAATCGTTTCAGCCCAAACTATACTACATAAAACATATCTGAAGGAAACGGCAGACGAGCTGAATGAGATGCAGATTCACTCTGACAGCAGGTGAGTGTAGAGAGTGTGTGTCCGCAAGAGTGTGTGTGTGTGCACGAGTGTGTCTGTGTGTGCACGAGTGTGTGTGTGCGTGTGCAAGAGTGTGTGTGTGTGAGTGAGAGAAACAAAGCAGAGCTGCGCTTATGAACAGCAATGATACAGTATTTCTTTGGTTACCGCTGTAAACAAAGCAGAGCTGCGCTGATGAACACTAATATGCATCGTTCAGAGGCAAGATGAAAAGAAAATGCCATCTAAACGTTTCTAAAGACAGTCAGTTCCCCTCAGAGATACATTCAGATAAACTCCTACTCCAATTGTATCGCGATTTTTATGTTGCATCACATATTTGAATCGATTTTCAACCAGCTCGCGGTTCATCTTTACATTCCTAGTCGTTAATAGAATTCACTTTTAAAAAAGAAAGCAAAATAAAGTGAAAGTGTTGAGTTCAGTAGTTCATCACTGTTGTCTAGATTAATTACTAGATTGTCTAGATTAGATTATTTGATAAAGATCACCATCTGATCTGCTGAAAAATGGCACACTGAACAAATAAGCTACATATGGTACTACGGTAAATGTTTTGGTACTCTGGTACTGTTGTAGTGCTGGTGTTTTGAACATCAGGCTGTACAGACCTGAGTGTGTGTGTGCGAGAGTGTGTGTGTGCGAGCGTGTGTGTGTGCGAGAGTGTGTGTGTGTGTGTTTGCGAGAGAGTGTGTGCGCGAGTGTGTGTGTTTGTGAGTGCGTGTGTGAGAGTGTATGTGTGAGTGAGAGTGTGTGCTTGTTTATCCTACATTATAAGGATAATACCAGTAAATTTTGATCTTGTGGGGACATTTTTGGTCCCCATGTGGAAACAAGCTTATGAGAAAGTAAATATTGCCTGTAGTTTTGTGTGAGGGGTAGGTTTAGGGTAAGAGCATAGAAAATAGGCCAAACTGTACAGTTTGTATAGTAGAAAAACCATTATGCCTATGGAATGAACACATAAAACATGGAAAACCAACGTGAGTGTGTGTGTGTGTTTTATAGGCGTGTCTCTGTTCTTTCATTTGCAGGCGTGTGGTTATGGTTTCCCCAGAATAACCCTGTGTGTGTGAGATATATATGTATATTAAGCCTCTATGATTTCTGCCATGTGGAAAATGTGGATGGAATCGCGGAATCCAGTCATAAAAATGGAATTTACAGCACAACACAGTATGTAATGGAATCTGGCAAAATTGGTTAGGCAATCAAATATGGCAATATGGACTAGTGTATGCGAATATTAAAGCACAAAAATACTTCTATTGAGATATAAAGTCAGAAATATGAAGTGTGTGAATCAGCGCCGCGGGTTTGCTCTACTACACACACTGAAACACGCGTGACGCTCGTCTCTGTCTCAATATATGAACACATGAACTTCATCTCCAGAGCTGATCTGATAGTCATATCAGTATTTAATTTGATAAAACTATCATCAAATACACACAGAAACTCACTGTTCTTCACTACAACCCACCAAAACAAAAGCTCGGCTTAACTTGAAGAAATTACGACAGAAATATATTACTCTTGTACATTAGAAGTGACAGTAAAGATGTTTATAATATTCCAAATGATTTTTATTTCAAATAAATGCTGTTCTTTTGAACTTTCTATTCATCAAATAATCCTGAAAAATAAAGTGTCACAGCTTCCACAAAAATATTGTGCAGCACAACTGTGTTCAACATTGATAATAATCAGAAATGTTTCTTGAGCAGCAAATCAGCATATTATACTGATTCTGAAGATCATGTGACACTGAAGACTGGAGTAATGATGCTGAAAATACAGCTGCGCATCACAGAAATAAATTACAGTTTAACAGAGATTTTAAATTGGATTAATGTTTCAGAATTTTTACTGTATTTCCGATCAAATAAATGCAGCCTTGGTGAGCAGAAGAGACTTCTTTCAAAAACATTAAAATGTACTTGAGTGACTCAAGTAAAGGTGGTATTCTCTATGGTGGTTAAACTGCTACTGACGGTCTTTGTGTGTGTGTTTCAGGGGTCCGTTCAGTGTGGTGCGAAGATGCATCAACAGAGACACTGGACAGCAGTTCGCTGTGAAGATTGTAGATGTGGCCAGTTTCACCTCCAGCCCTGGACTCAGTACAGAGGGTAAGAACACACACACACACACTCTCTCACACACACACACACACACACTCTCTCATTCATGAGTTCTGCTGAAGGCGCTGTGTGTGTGAATGAGACGCTCCACGGCGCCCTCTGCTGGCGGCTCATGTGATCTCAGTGACGTCAGGCTCATGATCTCACATGTTCCTCTGTGCATCAGCGTTTATCTAGTCACTAGTCGCTGACTCTCACTCTCACTCACACACACACACACACACACACACACACTCTCTCTCT